AGTGGTTTCGCCCGTGGGGTGTTATTATCATTGCATGTACGTGTCACGTGTCTGCATTCGGGTTCGTGGCTCCTATCTGGTTTTGATACTTATCTATGTTTTGTTGATCCCCTCCTCTTGCCTGCGCTCTGTCGCAGGCACGTCTAAGTCTTGGCAGTTTTGCAGCCAAGAACCTGGAGGAGTCTTCGGCCGAGGCAGGTATTCTTGCGCTTGCCACTTGATTTTGATTTCTTGTTCAGAGCGAGGCCTTGTGGATGCAGACTTTCAGTTACCTTCCATTTTTAACAATTTGAGGCTTTCTTGTTTGGAGCCTTCCCGGAGCACAGGTGCAGAAGCTGCTGAACCAGGGGCAGAGCAGGGTTCTCGGTCCTTTGCAAGACTTTCCCGGAAACTGCAACCCAGATGGAGGATGTTCATTACCGCAGGTAGGTGATGTAAAAAGACCAGCCGTTGCCGAGGCAGTCGAGCCAACGCAGCAGTATTTTCAAAGCTGCAATCCGCGTTGGATGAGGGCTATCTAGGCCGGGGTTGCTCTGCTAAATGTTCTTACCTCAGCCTGTTCCTCAGAAATCGACCACGGGACTATTTACTTGGTATGAATAAAGATTGTTTAGCCTGCTGCTGGCATGGCTGTTCGATACGAGGATTTGCTTGGGGATTTGACGAGACGGTTGACTGAGCTCATCATGCTCATCTGCCAGGGCTCGCTGGAGCGCAAGCCGATCAAGCCTTGGAGACTCTCTTGAACTCTCGCCTTTGGAAAGCACAAGATTGGGAGGCCTGTTGTTGCGGAGTCGTGCCCCCTTAACTGCTTGCTCTTGCTGTTGGTGTTGATGGCGATTAGCCATGTACCCCTGTGAAACGATGCGAGCAAGGTAGCTAGAACAAGGGAGCTGCCTTTCCATTTCAGGCAATTCAGCCCAGTGATGTGCGCGAGTCGGTGGCCCAGATATTGACATGATACTTCCTAAAGCTGGCGGGACAGACTCAAGGCTCGAAGTCCGAGCGGAGGAGGCAACCAAAGCGGGTGCTGTGCTCAGCTCATACGAGCCCAAAGAGAATCCAGCCAGGAAAATTTTGGGAAAGGAAACCATGGAAGCAATCATATCATTATACGGGTCATAGTGGGGATATGTGGGATATTTGGGTTATGTATGGTTTTCGGGTTATATAAGGTTTCATGGTTCTCTTCAGGCCGCCTACGCTTGGCTGAGCGGCTGCAGAACGCACTGGAGGCACTCAGGGTGAGTAGGTCAAAAATGGGGATAAATGGATTCATTATGTGGCCTGTAGGGTTACAAGCATACTTGCTAAGTCCCCCTGACCCTCTGAGCAATCTGCATGAATGCGAATTTTCCTCAGGTCGGGCAATGCTCGGTGGAGCTTGTGGCCTCCATGAGAGGCTCCAACGTGGAGAAACTGGAGAGATGCCTGGAGAAGGCGTGTGCCCCTTGACGACGCATCTGCCAAGAATACTGAAACCCGACAACTGAAACTCCACATGACATGGGGCAAGGCAAACGATTTGGGCTTCAAGGGCCTGGAGAAAGCGCAACGGAGGCTGCAGAACGTCCGCCTAGTGACGGAAGGCGAAAGCCTCGGTTCAGATTAAGCAATGAGCACCCTTTGGATCCCTAGATTCCGTTGAAGCTTAGTGCTTCAGGTCGAAGGCCGCTGCGGCGGCCAGGAATTCGAGATGCTGCGAGCTCATTAACCGCTCACACACCATGCTTTCCCAGAATACATGTGCAGAGGCGTGCAGAAAGGAAGCTCACATTCTGCAGGTCATGGCTTGAGTTAGAGAGGTGCATCACATTTTTTGACTGTATTTGACAGTCCACCTGAGGTTTACTTCTTCTCACCATTGAGACCTCTTGCTTGCCATGGGGGCAGTAGCTGGAACAAACACCCAGTATCAGGGGAAGGATGAAAGGCAATTCCAGTATCAGGGGGACGACGAAAGACAAATCCAGAATCAGGGGGACGAAAAACAAATCCAGAATGTAGGAGGACCACAAAAGACAAATCCAAAGACAATTCCAGTATCAGGGGGACGATGAAAGACAAATCCAGAATCAGGGGGACGATGAAAACCAAATCCAGAATGTAGGAGGACCACGAAAGACAAATCCAAAGACAATTCCAGTATCAGGGAGACGAAGAAAAACAAATCCAGAATCAGGAGGACGATGAAAAACAAATCCAGAATGTAGGAGGACCATGAAAGACAAATCCAAAGACAATTCCAGTATCAGGGAGGCGAAGAAAAACAAATCCAGAATCAGGGGGACGATCAAAAACAAATCCAGAATGTAGGAGGACTATGAAAGACAAATCCAAAGGCAATTCCAGCATCAGGGAGACGAAGAAAAACAAATCCAGAATCAGGGGGACGATCAAAAACAAATCCAGAATGTAGGAGGACCATGAAAGACAAATCCAAAGACAATTCCAGTATCAGGGAGACGATGAAAGACAAATCCAGAATCAGGAGGACGATGAAAAACAAATCCAGAATGTAGGAGGACCATGAAAGACAAATCCAAAGACAATTCCAGTATCAGGGAGGCGAAGAAAAACAAATCCAGAATCAGGGGGGCGATGAAAAACAAATCCAGTATGAGGGGGACCATGAAAGACAAGTCCAAAGACAATTCCAGTATCAGGGGACGACACGGGCATGATTAAAGACAAATCCAGTATCAGGGGACGATGAAACACAAATCCAGTATCAGGGGGACGATGAAAGAAAAATCCAGTATCAGAGGAACGACGAAACGCAATTCCAGTATCAGGGGGACGATGAAAGACAACTCCAATATCAGGGGGGCGGCGATGAAAGACAAATAACAATTAAAGACAGATCCAGTATCAGGGAAATTATGAAAGACGAATCCAGTAACAGGGGGACGATGAAAGACAAATCCAGTATCAGGGGGACGATGAAAAACAAATCCTGTATCAAGGGGACCATGAAAGACAAATCCAAAGACAATTCCAGTATCTTGGGGACGATGCAAGACGAGCCCAGAATCAGGGGGACGATGAAAGACAAATCCAGCATCAGGGGGACAATGACAGACCAATCCATCATAATGGGGACGATGAAAGACAATTCCGTATCAGGGGGGCTATGAAAGACAAATGCAATATCAGGGGGACCATGAAAGACAAATCCAAAGACAATTCCAGTATCAGGGAACGACACGGGCATGATTAAAGACAAATCCAGTATCCGATGAAAGACAAATCCAGAATCAGGGGGACGATGAAAGACAAATCCAGAATCAGGGGGACGATGAAGAACAAATCCAGTATCAGGGGGACCATGAAAGTCAAATCCAGTATCGGGGGCATGATGAAAGAGACATCCAGTATCAGGGGGGCGATCAAACACAAATCCAGTCTCAGGGGACGATTGCTTTCTGTGGGAAGTGGTAAGGCAGCTACAGAGGGTAAGGGCCAGGCCGATGATGCTTTCAACTTGCACTGAGCCGAGGCGCCTCCAAAGACAGAGACGCCGCCCGCTGCAGATCTTCAAGTGGAGCAAAGTCCTCCCCAAGGAGCGGATGCGCGGAAGACACAGGCAGGTAGCTCGTGGCCAGGTCCTTCCCTTAGCTGTCAATTGCAACATTCTCAAGCAGCGCGTGATAAGACAAAGGGCTTGATAGACACTTAACTTATCGAAGGCGGCTAGGCCGCACCCTGCAAGCCGGGGTTTCCTTTCCTTCTGCATCCTTCTTTTCACACATCGAGCCTAGTCCAGTGCTGTCGGACTCTTCAGCTACCAGCCTGCGGTTCTATCCGGATTTCTTGCAAGCCGGCACAGTCACATGAATGCATATCCTACACCAGAAATGCAATAAGATTGGCTATGTGCAAAAGCCTTCCATGAACTGACTGACTCTGCATCCACTTAACGCCGTTGCTGACACTGTCCCAGCGAATCGTTGACTGAGCAGCTTGTGGTTGTTGACGTAATTTTGCTGGCGCTAGTTCGAAATCTTCAGTGTCCGGACAAAGGCTGCATCTCATACCCTAGACGGTCTCTCTCAGGTGAGGATCACGAGGATGAGCTGAATGAACAGGTACATGGGAGGGAGCTTCACAGTACATGCGAAAGATTTCGAGGATTGGGTCCTTGTGCACAGCCTCGTAGGTTCGGTGCACGAACCTGATTTTCATAGACCTTGAGACCACCTCTGGCTTCTACGACTTCGAGCAGATGCCGGAGATACTGGAGGCGAGGGGCTTGTAAACAGTATGGTAGTCAGGTTCACAAACTGGCCACAGGTGGCAATCATCATCACTGACAGAAACCTTCAAGAACTGGATAGAGGGCACTGGGCCGCGCACACAGACGGCTTGCTAGGCAGCTTTGGATTTGAATCCTTAAGGGAAGCAAGCTGACCTTACTGGCGGTTAGTAGGGAATACGGAATATATTTTGTAGGGATATATAGGAGTTATATTCCCTCATTCCCTACCTAACACCCAGTAAGTCACTGGGCTTTCTCAGGTTCTTGGTGGATTCAGCAGAGAAGAGCTAGAAGCTCTCGGAGAGTTTCACAAGGCATTCGATAGCTCTCCAAAACGCTCCAGAAAGTCCTCACGGTGTCAGATGAGTCCGATTCTGAGAGGCAAATTTTCGAGATGCTGGGCTCGGGGGCAACTTCCCGCCGTTGGTGGGCTACAGTGGCTGAAGCCTCAGTTTCATGCTTCAGGCCTTTTTATTTGCTGCGCATTTCCGCAGCTAAGCACATTCGCCTACTCAGCAGGTGGCAATGGTCTCTTTTCAGACGTATTGACATCAAGGCCTTCTTCCTTCTGGCACATCTTGTGTTGCAGTTGTTCTTAACGGTCCAGAAGAGCTGTAGATGAGGAGGGAAACAGACAAACATTCCGAATGAGCATTAGCTCATGCATTTTCCTGATGCATCTCGTCGTCACGTTCAGAACGCATGACTGGAAGGAGGCAAGTTCCAAGCTTCACTTGTGCAGGTTATCCGCGGAGGATGTTGAGAAAGAGGTCATGCGAATCGTCACTCAGCCGCTGCCCCATCGTGCAGCAACTTGATGGTGCCGGTGCTTTAACTGCTGGAACCAGGCATTGCCCTCCGGGTGAGTGCCCACTGGTCGGAATCATAGTAATTCTTCCAAGCCACACGCAGTAGCAGAATTTAAAGTGGACTGCAGCATGAGGTTGGATATTCGGTTCAATGTGACCGAGAGGTCCTCAAAGATAAGATGCCCAGGCCAGCAGATGTTGTCGAAGTCAGGTTGAAGCAGGAAGTGACTTTCTTACTGTCTTATGAAGCCGTCCTGCCTAGCTGACTATGCGCCGCTCGAAGGGCAGGACGCCCCCAAAATGCTGGATTGCCATGACCGTATGTTGACTATTGAATTGAGCGCTTCGGACTGAACACGCAGTTCAATGCATAGTGCCTGGAGTTGCATATAAGTCGCATCCTGCAAGATTTTTCACGGGGCGTCATGACTAATTCTTTCTTGTATGGCGATAAGAGCAGTTCGGGAGTCCTAGGGCCTAGGGGCCTCATTTCAATGCTGTTGCCAGGCTGTACCGCCACCTCAGCCACCAGATCATTGATGTCTGCCTGACACATTTGACATGTCCTCATACAGCATGTTTGGAGAAGTGTACGTACACAACACATCGCACTGAGCAGTCTATTTACGATGCAGGTCTCTGGCTTCTTCACTGTTGCGCGGTTATGGCTTCCTGAGCAATGGCAGTATTGGGCACCAACCTCAGAGTATCAGACTGGCTGCCTTGGTAGCACGACACGCCTCGGTGCAACAATCAATGCCCAGGATCGCAAATCTAGCGACTACAATCACAGAGCTGTGAACGATGTGGAAGATGCGATCGAGGCTTTGAGAAGCTTGGCTGCGATTGGTTATGCGACTCACTTCTTCCGAACCCTGCGCGGCCCAGCAATGCATTTTCAGAGCCTGAGAGTAGTTTACCAAGGATGGGTTCGCAACAAGTTCTTTTCCGAGAGCCTGCTGCCGCTTGGGATTGCCACACGCTCAGCTGGCCGTAGATCTTCGCAGATTTTGGTGCCTCCAGGGCTCGGACGTCTCCGCCAGGCCCAGGGCTATTCCAGCAGTGGCTTGTCGGCTCTGAGCTTGCCGGGCATCTCAAGAAAGTAGGTAGGTCAGCTGCGCAAATCTAATGTGGGCCGTAGCTCTAGCCATAGTTGCAGCGTAGCTAGCCGGGTTCCGCTGTGCCTGTTTGAAAGCACTAGGTTCCAATCCCACGGAGGCCGTGCAGCAAAAAAGAGCGCCACTGAAGAGTCATTTCAAAGGTTAATTTCACATACTATGCGCGTTTGAAGCCTTAAGACTTTCCCAGCCCGCTACAGATCCCGGCCGCATAAGTGCGGACTGACGATCCGTCAGCCATTCACGTGTATTGTGCGGGCCGGCTGACATCCACTTGATTGATATGACCCTGCTGAAAAAGCAAGCTCGTTCACAAATCAATGCAGTGTCTGGATGATGTTCTTTGGGGATTTTGTGGCCGCCATTGGCCTTCTGTCGGAGCCATTTCACAGATCCATGACCCTTGGTGTGACGCTTCGTAGGTTTTGGCTTGTCTTCTTGTCTGTCCTCGTTCAACCTCATCCAAATCGACACCAATTCCGGTCTGAGGCACCCTGAAATCCCAAGACTTTACGGTCCTGCTGGAAGCTGCATCTTGCCTGAGTGCATCCTGAGCTGGGGCTTCAGACATGGATCCTCCTTGCTGAAAATGCACAGCAACGCATACATACCACTGCACCATGTCGGAAGGCTTGCGTCGCCTAGCGTTGTTTATTTGACCTAATGAGATGGAGAAAGCTTTTAAACATTGACTTGGGTAAATGCCCGTTCTTGTTTGGCTGTGTTGTTGCTGAAAGTCCTTGTTCCACTCCTGCCCTAGCGAGAGCCCTTGTACTTGTAGCCGTCGCAGGCTCCCACGCCAAGGAGCTATCGGGGGGTCCGAGGCGGCTGGCGGTCACGGCGAGCTGCTGCTAGTGTAGTGCACGCCGACCAGAAGCTCGTGCAGCTCTAGCGCTTCCCCAGCAACGTTGCAGTCCGGGCGAGCGCATCTAGTGCGCGGCCCACGCACATTGGGCTGCTGCGTGTAGCCGTGATGGCAGCGCATCTGCAGGATGGCGCGCTGCCGGTGGAAGGAATCGCCAGGCCCTGGCTAGTTCAGGGAAAGTCTGGGCTTGCAGGCGGCAGGACAGGGCAGACTGCGGGAGCTTCCAGGGCAAGTTGTGCACCCTGCCACAAGGGCACCACGTTTGCTGCAACTTCAATTGAGCGCAAGTTGTGTACTGGGACAGCAAATGACATCAACCTTGATGTCCACCAGTTGCACCTTCTAGCACAACCACGGGAAACGGAGGCGGCGCAGGGGCAACGCCCGGAATGACATTAAAGAGATGACGACCTTGGGAAGGTCAGAAACTAAGGGTACGCACAGCATGGGGCCCTGCTTGCGACAGAAGCAGCACTCGAAAGGCAGAATGTTGGCCAAATGCACTTCAACGTGCGCTTGTGACAAGAAACTGCCCGTCGCCATGTTTGTATTGCGCTGTCAAGTTAGCATCTCACGCTGGTGCCTGGTTGCCCAAGCGATCCTGGCCGCCGCAATGGAGCGAGCTGTGCCATCATTCGCCACTTGCCCAACCTGTGTGAATGCTCGCGCCAACCTGTCAGGTACCGGTGGCGCCCGGCGTTTTCGGCATTTTTTGCAGGGAGTTCTTGGGAATTCTCGACGCGAGAGAGTGATTTCAAGCCAAAGTTTGAAGACAACGCGAAAGCGAGTTATTTGTATGCTGCGGTGACTGGCATTTGTTACTGATCTTGCCCATGTGTCACTGAACATGAGGCTGTCTCCTCCGCTCTCGCTCGCAACCAACCTGTGAGGATGCATCACGCGACGGCGCGGCAGAATTTCGTGAAAACATTCTTTGTGAGAGCTGGATTTTTGCGCCAGGCTGCTGGAACCACTCGACGCGCACAACGATTTGGAGCGGAAATGTGAGCACGTGGTATGCGAGAGCTCCGTTGATTGCTTATTTCTCAAAATCCATGCTAAAGCTCGATTCTTCATCATGTGGGGTTGGAAAATAACCCCGCGACAGAGGATGATGTCGTGGTTCGCCGCAAAATGCAAAACGTTGGGTCTTAATTCGAAAAACGATGAAAGGAAAAGATAACGAAAACAATAAAGCCCCAAACCTGGAAAAACGATAAAAGAGGAAAATAGAGCAGTGCCCAACCACCAAGTCTCCCTGCAGTGCCCAACCACCAAGTATCCCTGCAGTGTCCCTGCAGTGCTCGCACCACCTTCCGTCATTAAATTTCTCATGTCATGGAGGCTTTAGGGTGGGGAT